GCCCCAAATTCCACGATGCTAGGAAAAGTCTCATTTCGTATTCTGGTAGCTTTGATCCCAGCAGGGTAGCTACTCTGACGGGTGATTTCCTCCTTCATTCATGGCTCTAGGTAGGAGGGGAGCGTGCAGGCCTGAGAAGATGGGGATGAATGGGAATTTAGTAACCACATGGGCCTTTTTCCAGAGTTCCAGGTCTTCAGCCTTCTTCTCCAGAGAGGCAGCTTCATAGAAGAGAACATCTTTGTGGCCCTTACTCTTCCCAGATGGGAAATTCTAGGAAGCAGAAATAGTTCTCAAGGAAAGCGTAGGTATTCAGGCTGATGGACCCTAAGTGCCGCCCAACTGATGACATCTTTCCTAACTTTTCCAAGTTAGGAAAAGTTTCCTTCCCGAGGGCCATTTGTCACTTTCTTCAGCTTAAATAATTTGGAAGCCCACGTATCCATGGCTCTATGCAAAAAATATATATATATATGTATATTAAAGGAGACAGGCAGGTCCCTGTTACCGGGGATGTTTATATTGCCTTCGAACAGAGTGATAGACATGCGGAGTCAGGCCTGTACATGGATGTTGGTTTGACTTGACTCCTCGTGTCGAGAACGAAAGGCTGGGGGTGGAGTGCTGAAGGCTGCTGTTGACCTTTTCTTTTCTCACGTTTGGTAATGCTTTGTCCTTTGCTAGTGGGATGGATTTCCTTGACGCTGCCCCATATTCACCTCTTTCTGACTTTGGTGATAATTCCAGTGCCAATCACCAGCTTTCTATATTTATCAGCAGCTGCTTCAGTGATGTGGAAACAATTTTCTCAACAGCTGAAAATATGGAGATGGAGCATGGGTGTGCTGTTCTTAACAAAGGAGCTCAGCTGGAATGAGCATGGGAGGGGCGGACCGTCAGCCAAATCTTTCTGTCTCTGCACCTCTTTTCCCCTTTCCCCCAAACGTCAGGCTTACATGGACAATATGGTTCTGTCCAGAGAGGAATGAATGGGTAGCCCCTGTGGAACACACCGGAACGCTTTGTATCAGCTGGTGTGGGCCAGTGGCCTCCATTCTAGGAGGTGGTCTTTGCTGATTGGCATTTTAAGATTTGGGGTGTGGAGGCTCATCACAGCCTCTTCTTCCAGCCCAGCCTCACCTGCTGGCTGGCTCTAGGCAGTCGCCATTCAGTGAATGCTTCTCTGTAAACCATTATCAAAGTCAGTTGCAGAACGCCTATCCTCTGGGGACATTGCAGGGCCTGGAGGGTCGCAGAAGTCCAGGTCACCACCCATGCGTTCGAAGCTTCCTGACTTCCAGGCACTGTGATTGGTAGCACATCTCTAACGCCCCCACACGGTGCCCGGTCCAGCAGAAGCCCTCTGTGCAGAATGGTCAGAGAGGCTGTCGCTGCCCCCAGACCGTCTCAGCTGCTGTCACCTCTGGGGCATCTGGGCATCTGGGTGCTTGTAGAGGGAGCAAGGCTTTGAGTCAAGAAACCTGGTTTTTAGCCCCAGTTCTGCCCCTACCAGGGAAAGGGGAACCACATTGAATGCCCAGGATGCGCCAAGTGCTCTGAGTGTTAGCAAAGCACTTTACAGCTCAGGGTCTCTCCTCTTACAGCAAATCCAGGAAGTCAGTGTTTCACAGATGAACAGGTGAGAGTTCAGAGAGAGTGATTTACCCAAGTCAGTGTCCAAATCTTCCCAGTCCCATAGCCCATCTCCTCACTGTCCACGTGCCTTCCATCTCCCCAGACCTCTCCTGGGCGCAGGGCAGGCCTCGAATAGCTCTGCCAACCACTCCGAGCCCAGCTGTCTGCAGGTGTAGAGTTGAAAAGCCATCTCTAAGGTTTATTTTTGACGTTAAAATATTTTATCAGCAAGCCATCTTCCTTGCTATTTTAAATCTTTACTGCCACCTACTGGTCATGCTGTAATCAGACTCATAAAGAAAAATTTGAGTTTCAAGTTGGATTAAAATCTGCCAATTCATTTTACATACACACTGGGTTCCTAACCTTTAAAACGTATGTTTGTGAACACATGTTATGGTCTTCCATTTTAACTATAAAGTAAACTACTAGATGTGAGATCCCCTTTATAAGATTTTTGGTGAGATGCTGGGATACACATAAACCCCAGCTTTAAAAATATATGTGTAAATACTTTATGAGCATCTGATATATACTCAGCTTATTGTGGGCTATACATAAAGCAATTCAAACCTACAATATCTATAACTTATATAGCAGATATATTTTCCACTTTATAAATATTTATTTGCTCATTTATTTACATTCACATGGCAAAAAAAATTAAACAGCACAGAGGATGTGAAGTGAAAAGTTAAGTCCTCTCTCACAGAGAGAGGTATCTTAAGAGTTCTTTTGTTTTCTTATCCTCACCTGAGGACATTTTTTCACTGCCTTTAGAGAGAGGAAGAGAGGAAGAGAAACACTGATGGGTTTCCTCCTATACACCCAAACCAAGGGTCGTAGGCCCCCGGACTGGCTGAGGATCGAACCTACAATCTTTCAGTTACAGGACATTGCTCCAACCAATGAGCCACACCAGCTAGAGCAGAATTCTTATGTTTTTTCTTTTAAAGAAATGTTCTGTTCATATACAAGCATGTGCAAACACACATATACTTGGACATCTTTCCATGTCCAGAAACAAATCTACTTCATTCTTTTTAACAGCACATAGTTTTCCATTATCAACTACACAATAACTAATTTCACTAGTTCCTCATTAAGGTCCATAGAGGCTATCTTCAGTTGTGTTACAAAAACGCTTTGGGGGATGCATGTATATTCTTCAGGGAACACACAAACATACACACACTTTTTACAGATTCATTGGTAGAATAAAAATCTTAGGCATGAAATTTCTGGGTCTAAACTCATGTTAATACCCACTGACCAGAGATCACCAGAAACCATCTGTAGTAAAAAAAAAAAAAAAAAAAAACTTGGCTTTCTTAAGTAGGGAGGCCACCAGCCCCTCTGTGTGGGGTCTGGAGGAGCTGCAGTAGGGGCGGGGCTTGTGTGGGGTGATGTTAGGGAGGGTTCCTGGTGGCGGTGGCGGTGGCGGGAGCAGCTCTGGTCTGGGTGTCGTCAAGAAGCAGGGGCAGGTCGGCTTTTCTAGGAGAAGAAAATTAAAGTGGGTTAGAAGTATCATTAGTAAATGAGTCTCCATCAGAAGACCACATTTTGTGTTCCCAGCGGCCTGGTGTGGACATTGCTTTATTTCTCGGGTGCTTTCTGTGATCACTTGGGGACAATAGTGCTTTTTTTTTTCACTTTCTTGGGTACGCCAGTTTTAAATGTTTGTAGACGTTTAAGTTGCTTTTTAAAAGGCTGCGGTGCCCCCATTCTTGTGGCTCAGTGGGTTGGGCATTATTCTGCAAACGGAAAGGTTCAATTCCTGGTCAGGGCACATGGCTGGGTTACAGTTGCAGGTCAGGTCCCTACCAATCAATGTTTCTCTCGAACATCGATGTTTCTCTTCTTCTCTTTCTTCTTCTCTTCCCCTCTCTCTCAAAATAAATAAATAAAATATTAAGGAAAACAAAAGCTGTACCACTTAAGGTTCTTCTGGACTCCTTTAAAGACTCAATGTCCCTAAACATGACTTTATAATGAGAATAACAATGGAAATTACAATAAGAGCAAATGGTTACAGAGCCACTTGGTACATGCCAGCCAGTATGCTGAATCCATTAGTTCAGGGGTCCCCACCCCCGGCCGTGGGGGTTCCTAACAGTCTGCGACCTGTTAGGAACCGGACCGCACAGGGGAAGGTGAATGGCAGGTGAGCGAACAAAGCTTCACCTGTACTTACATCCGCTCCCCAACACTCACATTACTGCCTGAGCTCCCCCTCCTGTCAGATTCAGCATTAGATTCTCATATGACCTTGAACCCTACAGTGAACTATGCATGTGAGGGATCCAGGTTGCAAGCTCCTTATGAGAATCTGACACCTGATGATCCGAGGTGGAGCTGGGGTGGTGAAGCCAGCGCTGGGGAGCAGCTGCAAACACCGATTATCATTAGCAGAGAGGTTGGACTGCAGAGAGACCGTGATAAATCAACAGCTTGCGGACTCACATCAAAACCCTGTCAGTGAGTGGCCAGTGACAATTAAGCGGCATCTGGTGGCAGGCTATAAAGTCATACTTCCCCCCGACCCCTGGTTGAAAATTTGTCTCCCGTGAAACCGGTCCCTGGTGCCAAAAAGGTTGAGGACCATGGCACCGATCCACTGAATCCTCAGCGGAGCTTGAACGTAGCACTAATAACATCCCGGCTTCCAGATGAGGAAACCCAGCCCTAGAGAGCAGGAGAACCAGCCGGGACCACGTGACTGGCCAACAGGGAGCTGGGCTGGACTCAGAGCTGGCTGCTTCTGGGACCCCCACTCTTTACCGTGAAGAAGCATCGTCTCCTTTATCTGACTCGTAGGAGTCCACCAAGGAGAATTTAAAGCTATGGAGCGAAGAGCCATTTAATTGATGATGACACATCTCAGGTCTGGTTTAGAGCAGTAAGAAGCAGAGTCCTGTTTCCAAGGATGGAAGTTGTGAGCTGAGGTTCAGGGATCCCGTGTATTGGGTCAAGCGAGGCATCCGGCTTGAGGGGCCTCACTGCTTTCCTGTCCTCACTGAATAAAGGCCTGTGAGAGCTCTCTGAGAGTCACGGCCAAGACACTGTAATTAAATACTCTCCCGGGCAGCTGGAGCGCCCAGGGTGTTGAAATGACCTCCAAGGAAATAAACAGACGAAGGACCTCCACCCCCCAGGATCTGCCGTGGCCCAGAAGTGGCTGCTGTGTGGGGACGGGGCCTGTGGGGCCCTTCCTCTCCGTGCAGGGAGGGGAAGCTGAGTGGAATGGCACTTACGGGGACATTGACCGAGTGTGGGATGGGGCACACGGGGGTTCCGAGCGGGCCTACAGGCTTGCCTTCAGCAAAACAGATATGGAGTAACCGCTGGCCGCTGCTTTCTTCCAGACTGTGCTGGCTGCGGAAGAGACATCAAAAATGGGCAGGCGCTGCTGGCGCTGGAGAAGCAGTGGCACTTGGGGTGCTTTAAATGCAAATCCTGCGGCAAGGTGCTCACAGGGGAGTACATCAGCAAGTAAGTGAGGCTGGGGCCCGGGGAGCCCTCTCCAACCCATCCCATATCAAGAGAGACAGTCACACCCCACAGTCCATAGGAGCTTTTGGCTCTAAAACTCATGCAAAGATTTATTCTCCTGCCTTTGCCATAGTTTGCCCACTATAAATGTAATGAGATGCTAATCATTGCTTAATTTAACAATTAGCAAAGCTGATGTCACATGTTGTAACCAAGGGAGCATTCAGTAATTTCACCTTCACTACATTTTTTCCCCCCTATTTGCCACGAGCAAACCTTTGTCCTCCTTCCAGGTCTTGAATATATTTTCAGACCGCCCCCAACCAAAAAAGAAAATAAAGCAGAAGCAAAAACACAGGAAAAAACCACACGGGCCCTGGGCACTGAGCCCATTGGGGCCAATAAACAAAACAGCTCGTCAGGGACTGGGTTTGTGTGAGTCAGATGCTGGTGTGGATAGTAGCTGGAGTAGATGGAGCATGTGGGATTTTTTTTTTGCTTGTTTTTCGTTTGCTTGGTTTTTGTTTTTTTAACGAGGCCTGGAGAATCTAGTTGCATGGTTACCTTCTGAGTTAAGGAAAAAAGCATGGGGTGGGGGTGTCAGTGAGGGGAAAATTTTCCCATATATATATACCTTTTTGGTGCTTGAACAAATGCCTTCCATCCAACTATATATCAATCAAAAATATTAAACGAATTTAACTTCCGAATATAGCTAGTCTGGGCCCCACCTTGCAAAGATCCGCTTCTGTAGGTCTGGGGTGAAGCCGGCTCACCTGGGAAACGCTCCGCAGTGATGCGGCCGCACGCAAGGTGAGCACAGCGAACGGCCAAATGCTCAGCCTTTGCACGCACACCGAAGGCTGGAGTGGTGCTCTTGAACTTCCCCAGCAATCGCACGCAATGTTTTCACGGTGCCCTGAGACTAGTGGAGGATGCCAGGGGAGGTGCTGGATGAGAAGGCCGGCCCCTCAGTCTGCTGAAGGCTGAGCACAAGGTGGGCGGGGCGGGGAAGGTGGCATCAGGGCCTCCCCAGAGAAAGAACGTGAGACCTGAAGCCCGCGTGGCCCGGTGGCAGAACAGAGCGACGCCCGGTTTCTGTTAGTGAGGGGCTCCGACAACTGGGGCTTCGGCCCGGGCTGCCCAGGTGATTTGGTTTTTACTTCTGTGGGGCCCGTAGAACCACAGCGCTGTCTCAGGGCTGTTTGGTTTCGTGGTTTTTGCTCGTGTCAGACCAGATCTCCAGGCACGTGGAGGCTGGTGGGAGGGAAATCCGTCCATGTGCATCTGTGAAAAGGGCTCAGAGAAATTGGTTTCGGTGGCGTCCTCGCCCCGGCCTGCTCTCAGGTGCTGAACATGCTTTCGTCTTGCAGGGACGGAGCTCCGTACTGCGAGAAGGACTACCAGGGCCTCTTCGGGGTGAAATGTGAAGCCTGCCAGCAGTTTATCACAGGCAAAGTCTTGGAGGTGAGTGACAGACGGGCCCCCCTCAAAGCCACTCTCATTTTCCTCAGAGGCCCTCAGAAACACTTGAGTCTCTTTTTCCATTTTTTTTCTCACCTGTGGAGCAAAGAAAGCACTTGCAGGTGACCGATCTCTGAGGGAATTAATGCATTATGCTGTCTTCACAGGCAGTTTCTGCTAACAGTTCGTGTGGAAATTAGAATGATGGACAATTTGAAGGGAAAAGAAAGAATAATAATGGGGCTCTTAGGAATTATGTGGAAGGGAAGGTTATATTAGACTATTTTTAGAAGTCACAAAAGAAGAAATGAAGAGCATGTTAGAGCCACATGTCTTCATGTGCATAGAAGTACACATGTGTGTATGTGAGCACTCACATGTGCGTGTGTGGGAGAGCACAGGTGTGTGTATACACAAGAGTGTGTGATGTATGTGCTCTTGCACGTCCCTGTGCACATGTGAGCGTGTACATTCTCAGGGAGCAGAGACTCAGAACGGAAGCTAAGAAAAGAAAGGGTGGGTGCCAGGTGAAGGCGGAGACTTCCCCGCCCTGAGAAATCCACATCCTGTGTGGCCCAGAACACCCTGTGGCCCAGGCTGAGCTGAAGCCAGTCAAGTTCAGGTGTGACTGGCTCACACCAGTGAGCTCAGTTCCTGCTTTGTTGGCGCAGCCCCACCAGCCTCCGCCTCTGGGCTGAGCCAAACTCCTCTTGAGTGCAAGGCTGTTTGTGGAATTAATTAGACCAGGGTTCGAGGGCAGTGGGAAAGTCACTGCCTCACTTCTCACAGGCCCCTGCGGTGGTGACCCGTGCTGATGGCACAGGCAAAGGTGGCCCCAGAGCCGGCCCACCTCTAGGGGTGGAGAATGCACACTGAGCAGGGAAGAGCGAGGACACCCAGCAGCTGGGAAGGTGACTAACTGGTCCTGCGGCTTGTCCCGACTCTGGGGCAGACACCGGGGCTCGGAACCCACATTGGTACTTTCCTGCAAGGCGAGTTTCAGAGACACGGGACATAATCCGAGAGCCCCGCCCCTCCTCCAGGTGTCTCTGGGCAGGTTCCGTGGGATTTCACAGCGAGGCCCAGCATAGCCTTGCCCTTCCCACGGCAAGCTCTGAGATGCCTGCTGTCTGTAAAACAGAGGGGCCAGTGCTGGCTCTGAGCTGGGAGCTAGTGCAGTGACTTGGATTTGGGAGTCAGGGGCTCTCAGTACAGTTGCCAAGGGAAGGGTGTCCGGGAAGGGGGAGCAGCCTCTGCAGAGGCTCCGAGGGGAGGACAAGCAAGCACAGCACCTGCAAGAAAGAAAGTCGGGCGGGTGGGCACGAAGGTGTGAGAGACGCTGCGAGGTGGGGCAGGGCAGCGTGAGGACCCCGAAGGTCGCATCCAGGACTTCGGGCTTCATCCTAAGAGGAGTGGGAAGCCATTGAAGCGATGTAGCTGGAGCGTCGTGTGGTGGGCTCCGATCTTTGTATGAAGAATGGGTGGGCATACTCAAATAGAAGTACACCCCAGGGCAGAGCAGCTCCATTCACAGCTGCCGGGTGGAAATAACCCGGATGTCTGTGGACGAATGGGTGAACAAAATGTAGCATCTTATGCACCAACAGCCAAATACTAATATGAAGGAATTCTGACATGGGCTACTGCAAGGATGATCGTAAAAACGTGCTAAGTGGGAGAGGCTAGTCACAAAGGTCCTCATACTGTGCGGTCCCATTTAGAGGAAATATAAATCCATAGAGACGGAAAACTGATTAGTGGTTGTCTAGAGAGGGGGGCAGGGAAGCGGGGAGGCGTCGTTTATTGATGCCCAATTGAGGTGATAAAAGTGTTTTGGAGCTAAAAGCGGATGCACAGATTGTGAATATCCTAAATGCCATAAATTGTTCACCTTAAAATGGATAATTTTATGTTATGTGGATTTTACCATTTTTTTTAATGGATGGAAAAGGGATGAGAGTGGAGAGAGGGAGGCCAGTTAGGACCCGAGTGCAGAGCTCTAGACTTGAACCGTGGTGAACTTGGCTGCAGTGAAACCTGGGAAGAGGACCCCAAGCCTTCACACACACCACCGGGGACTGAGGATGGTGGGGGGGAGAGAGTCTTTGTGATCTTCCGATAAAGCTTCTTCGGCAGCCCGGGTGCACATCAGACCAGGTTTTTGGCCCAGGGCAAAGCCCATGGCCAGGAAAGCTATTGGGGAAAACGTATGTGACTCACCCAAAGGGCAGCTTGAAGTCCAGCAGTCCTATCACAAGACTCAAGGTTCAGTGGTAGGGGCTCCCTGCCTGTCCCCTGAGCGTGTCCCTTATCCGCCACGGAGCCTCCAAATGGTCCTCTCAAGCAGGAGACTAAGGGGGTCCTGAGAGCATTCCCGAGGTTGATGTGCCACCTAGGACTGAAATGAACCTGCTGAGTTGGGGGCAGTTGGGAAATTTCATTTTAACACAATATCAAGGAACCATCAGAACTGTTTCCCAGATGTTTGGCTGCCGGAAGGAAGGCAGGAAGGTACTGGACACAGCCCCCAGATTGGAGACAGTCGTGTCTGCAGGAGGCACAGAGCGAAACAGCTGTCTCCTTAGCCCACCTATGGAACTGCCTTACCCAAAGTGAGCTGGGGAGGCAGAGGGCTGGGGCAGCGGGTGTTGATCACCTTCAGATTTTGTTCAGCAGCTTTGGGAAGGGGTATCTAAAGTAAAACTAGAGCCAAGAATATGCCGTTTTGAAGAAGCATCTGCTTACTTTGGGAGGCCCAAGGGTTTCCGTGTTTTCTGCAGCTGCCAGGGCCCCTCACCGGTTTGGTTTTAGGTCTCACTGGGGGACATTTGTGGGAGTGAAGGCTTGGATGCTTTCCACGTGCTGTCTTCAGAGTCGGGGCTTCCTGGACCAGTTTGCAGTAGGGGTCCGGGTAGACTGGAGCTCCACCCAGTGGGCGTGCCGCCCTCCTCGGACGGGTGTGTGGTCTAGAACGCCCTGCATGGGTAGCGCACGGACAGGTTGTGCCAGCCCGTGGGCCAGTTCGGCTGCGTTACCAACACAGTCAGGACTGGCAACACAGTGGCCCCGCCTCACTCTGCCTGTTATTCGCTGACCCTGCAGTTAGTGAGACATTCTACTTGTGGACTTACTGTAAACACTGTAATTCTTGCTTGTTGTTTGTATTTCCCCCACATTTTGTTATTGTGGTAAAATACACATAATATAAAATTTACCACTGACCATTTTCAGTGTACAGGTCAGTGTTTTAAAGGCATTCGTAGTGCTGTCCACCTCCGTGAACTTCCACCTCTCGGGAAAATGAAACTTTGTAGTCACTAATTAACTGCCCATTCCCCCCCTCCCCTCGGCTGCCGGCAATGACCATTCTGCTTCTGTCTCCATGAAGTTGATTTCTCTAAGTATTTTATATGAGTGGAAACATACTGTATTTGTCTTTGGGGGAATTTTTGTGTGGCTGCATTATGTCACTATGTCCCCAAAGTTTACCCACGTTGTAGCACTTGTCACAGTCTCCTTCCTTCCAAGGCTGAATACTATCCCATTGTGTGGGGACACGGAATTTCGCTCATCCAGTCTGTGATCCTTAGGGGTTTTGTTTTCCTGATTGATTTTTGCATGGAGACTGAAACTGTGTTACTCTCCTGTGTCTGCTCGGACTGTGGAGGCTTAAAACAACAGACAGTTTTGCTTCCACGGTTCTGGAGGCCAGGAGCACAAAACCAAGGTGTCGGCAGGCCAGGCTCCCTCTGAAGGCTCCGAAGGAGCAGCCTTCCTTCCCTCTTCCGGCTTCTGGTGGCCTTGGCTGTGTAACCCGATTCTCTGGGACACACCCAGACCTTCCAGGATGAGCATCTCAAGATCCTTAGCTTAATTACATCTGCGAGGACCCTGTTTCTAAACATCAACAGGTTTTAAAGATGTGATGTGGATATATCTTTTGGGGGCCACCATTCAACCCATGCCAGTAAACCTCGTAACTTGCACAGGTATGACCCCAGCGAGGGCTGCACCTCTGGTGTGGCTTTACTTGAACCCTTTCTGAGCATTGGAGGTGCCCCGAGGCTGCTTTTCTGGCCATGGTTTCCCCTGAGATGCTGCTGGGCACCCGAGGAAGCTTGGAGAGCAGAAAGTCCCCTGGGCAGTGATCAAGAAGCTCCAGGCTCAGCTGTGTCACTAACGTCTGAGTGATTTTGGGCAGGCCGTTCAGCCTCTTTGAGACACTCTTCTGTTCACAGGCAGAGGGAGCGTCATGTGACCTCTGAGACCCTGCCCTGATCTAAAATTCCATTTCCCCCATTATTCCCGAAGAGTCATAACCTCCACCCATCACATCAGCTTGAAAGGGCGGGCAGGAGAGCCTTCGTGTGTTCAAATGGAGAGGGCTCTGGGCGAGAGGGGATCAGAGGTGTGCTCTCGGCTCTGGAACTCACAGCAATGTGACCTTGGGCGACTCTCAACTTCTCTGAGCCCCAGTTTTTCCTTAAATACAAGCCTTAAAAATATAAGTGTAAATCTGAGCCATGGACCACTTGCCTCCTGAAGCCTCTGAGGATGTGAGTTCTGGGATTCTCACACGCTGGGTCATCTAAGTTACCAGAGCCAGCACTTCTTTGTCCAGAGATTGTCTGGACACTGGCGCGTACCACTCAGCATACACTCAACTCAAAGGTTTATGCATCGTTGGCTTGCTTTCAGTTTTGTTTCTGACAACAAGATTCTCTTTTTAGAGAGATCTTGCTATAAATGGCACATTTTTCAAAGTTTATGCTAATTAACTTATAAATTCAGGAGCGTTCTGAAGTTGTTTACAGCCTGCTTCCTAATTAAGAAGTCCAGAAGCAAATGAGTGCAGGGTAGCGGAGCCTCCCCACGGCCTTCTGGCCCCTTCTCCACCCCTAACCCCTCCTCCAGAGCAGCCTTCTTCCGGCCTTTCTCCCCGCCCCCTCCCCGCCTTCTGTTTCCAAAGCCTAATGGCAGGGGAAGCTCCCGAGGCTGCAGAC